AATACTTTTTCATTGAGAATGATATCTGTTTTGTTTATGTAAAACTTATGTTGCATGCCATATTATCATGACTTATGTGTTCTCTAAATAGATATGGGTAAGATGGCCTCAGTTCCGATTCCGTCAGGACTAGCGCTCTGAACGGGTACGACTGTTCGTAATCGGATTCGAAATAGCATTTTTTTATATCCAGATAGTTGAAAATGTATATTGAATGTTTTTCTGTAGAAAGTTAAGAAGAAAAATCAACTGAAACATACTATATCTTATGTTGTAGCCCAAAGTTTGTTCGAATCAAAATAAGCATTGCAGAAATTAACTTTCTAATAATAAATTCAAAATAATAAAAAAAAAAACAATTGTTATTTAACATTAGTTGAATCGAAGAGAAAACTTGTCAATAAACTTTATTTGCTAAATCTAGTACAATAATTATTTCTTCTATTAACAAATCAATTTGTTAACTGTGAAATAAATATAAATTTTCAATTATTTTTTTTTTTTATTGTAGGAATATTTATTCAGTATCAAAACCTCTTCTTGGTTTAATATTATTAAATGAAAATCAATTTTTTACTGAAATAAAACAACAATTATTATATGGTCATACACAAGCTAAACAAGCTATTTTATCTGCAGCATTAGATAAATTAATGACAGGTATTGATCGTACATTAACACAAGTAAATAAAGAACATTTTACACAAAATATAACACAATTTCGAAATGATATTCAAGATTCATTACGTGGTATGCTGATTAATAATAATGATTTATCATCATCTGTATCATCTATTCCACTTTCATCTTCATTTTTATCTTCAGCATCAACAATAGCATCAAATGTTCCAGTTACAATAGCCATTTCAACATTAATACCATCCTCTTCAACTTCGACACCTGTGGAAGAATTAATGACCCTGTGATGAATATCAATTCTTTTTTTTGTTCTTTGTATTTTTGTTCATATACATATTTTTATAAACCTAGAAGTCAAAAAGAAAAGGCATAGAGCGCCATATATATATATATATATCTATCTTTTTCTTTTTTTTTTGATATCTTTTTTTCTTGTTGTTATTTGAAGATGTATTCAGTTCGACGTGACCTTAATAATTCATATTATTATTCACAATATTGGACAATGAATTGTCAACAACAACATGAACAATTTATATTTAATAATCGTCAAATGATTAAAGCAAAACAACATTATTTTTGGTCAACGAAATTTTATAATAATAAAGATTGTCATACACAATGTCAAACATTGAATAATAATTCTATTAAATCTACAGATTTATCAAATAGTCATGATATGTCATTACCTATTTATCGTGCACCATGCACATTTCAAAATTCATTAATAACAACTAGTAATGGTAAGATATTTTAAAAACAATATTCAATATTTTTGTATCAATCGAATCTAAAATTATGATAAATAAAAATTTTCGAAAATCTATTTCAAACATTTTATTATTTGCTACTATCATTTAAATGAATTTCTACTCTTTTCCCCACATTTGTAGTTTAACTTAAATATTACATCATTCTTTTTTGTTTCTCATACATAAAATAAAGTTTTTCAGACCAGGTAATTTACTAGTAAAGTTTCAGCACTTCATAATTCAGTTTAGTCGATATTTGAAATTCAAATATACTAATGATTGTGATCGAGTTTGTTGAATAGTTATGTTTAATATACGAAATAGTTTGACTTAAAGAGAAACGATCTTTTCGAAAAACTGATAAAAAGCTTTTTTTGTTTTAATCTACATTTTATCGTATCTCGAAAGAAAAGAGTCAAGGGCATGAACGCTTTTTTTGATTTTTGATAGTCTCATTGGAATCTACTTATAGGCAAAAGATGAAGCCAAAAGCTCTAAAATAGTTGGAGAACTTTCCTTGTGGGTTTAACATTTTATCTCTCACAATAGATAGGTATACAAGAGCTAATAGTGTAATCAGATTCATTAGATATCGTGTTCATGGTGCACGATGCTTTTGGTTACTCCAGTGACCATGTAACACAAAAAAGAGATTGAACGATATGAGAAACTTTGATCTTCTCTTTTTCTTTCATGACAGTATTGGGTAGGTAAAAGCAGCTTATATCTCATGATATCGCATTACTAGAAAAAGGAGGAAGTGTATACAAGCTCTTCTACATAAACTACGACCGACTCCCGTAGAAGCTGCCAAATGAGATCATCAGAGTCAGTTCAATTTATGATACGCTTATAGAGAGTAGAGTTTTCAGAATTTTGACGTAAGCTATTTAAAAAAAATATTATTTCGCTCTCAAGAAATTCAAATTTTTTTAAGGGCACTATCATCAGAAAAGCATATTTTTTTTTGTGATTTTTTGTGACATTCATATGTCAATAAAGATATATCCGTTTGGCTTCAAGTTTTTACTGTGAACACGCTTCCAGTTAATGTACTTATCATAGAAAAATGGCTTTGCTTGAGTGAACTGTTCGTGCGCTGATTAGTAGTACCAAGTCTCGAAGAAATGATTATATTCGATGTTTTGTGCACATACATATTTCATGAAAGAATTGTGTTAGAGAACCGCTATTTTGACTACAGAGCGACCTCATTGAGTAGTCACTCTGGTAAGAAAAAAAAGCTCAGCTCTTTATATCTCAATCGTTGTAGAATGGTCCCAGGAACTCTATTAAAAAACCCTCCAAAATAACAGATTCCCTATATCAACCATACTTGAGTTTATTCAAAAATTTTTTAGAAACGTGCTTCATATGAAATAAATTCTATTTATTATAAATGAGCAAGCACATGACCCTCTATCACTTTACATAAAAACATCCTTTGAAAATGACAAAAAAAGCTTTTGAAAAATTTCCGTAGAGGGAGCATAAGGATTTTTCAAAAAGACTTGCTTGTCGTTTTCTAAAGAATGTTTTTACATAAGGTGATAGAAGATCATGTGCTCATTTATAATAAATAGAATTTATTTCATATGAAGCAAGTTTCTAAAAAACTTTTGAATGAACTCAAATATGGTTTATATAAAATATGAGTCAATTTTTGGAATACATATCAGGATCGCCATCTATATAACATATATATAGATGGACGATTCTTCTAATTGTTATTCTGCCCTTCTTTTCTAGTCAGATAAACTATTGTTGTTCTTTTACCTATAAGAGAGGATAATCTATTTGCCGTTGGGATTTTTTTAAAGTCTTCTATTGTTTATTTTTGTTGTTATTTCTTTGTCTTCCTTTTTTTTGTGGAAAAGCTTAAGTTCTTACTTATCATACATAGACAAAAGAACTTAGGAACCTAACACAATGGCCCAAACGAATTATTACGTAGCCTTGTAGTGTTTAGTTTGTAGTTTAAAACTATACAAGTCCGACTTCTATAGAATCAGTTTCTTAGGAGATCAAGCCCTCTCAAAATCGTGATTTTCGTCAAAATCATTATTTTGTGGAAGATCTGCTGAACGATCGGAACTCTCTAAAGAGCTGAATTTTTTTTACCAGAGCGACTACTCAATGAGATCACTTTGTAGCCAAAATAGCAGTTCTCTAACACAATTCTTTCATGAAATATGTATACGTACAAAACACGGAATATGATCATTTTTTCGAGACCTAGTAAAAATTTGAAGCCAAACGGATATATCTTTGTTGACATATGAAGGTCACAAGAAACCACAAAAAAATATGCTTTTCTGACGATAATGCCCTTCGAAAAATTTGTACATCTCGAGAACGGGACAATATCTTTTTCAAATGATTTGTGTCGAAATTCTGAAAACACTACTCTCTATAAGCATATCATAAACTGAGCAGACTCTACCGAGCTCGTTTGAGCAAGTCCGATCGTGACTTATATGAACTGATTCATACATGAAATTTAATGTTAAAACAATACATAGGTGTTTGATACATATTTTCAAATAATCGGGATAATCACTGAAAACATTTTATCTATATTAAATATTATTTTTAACTTCTCATATGATGAGGTTTACAATATAGGCAGTAACTTTGTTTTTATTTGTTCTCGTTCTGCCCAATAGTCGCAATACACAAAGCACACTGAGATTTATTATCTGTAACTCATCAAGCTATCTTAAAACTTTCAAAACTTATATTTATTACTAGTAGTTCTCTTTAACAAACTATAATCACACTGTATAAAGGCCAAAGATCTCTATTACCTAAAGGTAGTGAATGTTTTGTTCAAAATAAAATTTAATTGTAAAAGATTTTTTTTTTCAGAATTATCGATTTTGTAAGACCGATAGTTTCGAAGACGGAGCGATGATACGAAATGTTCTGTCTTATTAATAGATAGCTCATAAAATTAACTATTAGGCATGTACCGAACTCGATCTGTGGCTCAGTGTTCGTGTACGGAAACTATTCAATCAGTTTAGACAGTGTTGCATATTTGGATAATTGCTCAAGCGTTTTTTGAAGTATATGAACAATCATAGAAGTACCTCAAGGTTCGGTTAAATTCAGATTCAGTGTGTGTCGATGAACTATAAAACATATTTTAAAGCGTTGAAATATTATGCATCGTTTAATTTCTATAATTTACCTGCACATGATCACTGCAATGACTAGTAGAAAGTAAAGGGTTAACTGACATAAGCCATGTTAGTATCGTACTGACTGAATGCTCAATAGTTATATTAATATTAATATTAATATTAATATTTAATCTTACATCTAAATAAATATTTAGATGGTCATTCACATGGGGTATGTCTCCGTTCACCTCTGTCATCATCTTCATCTTCATGTGTACCTGATGTATATTCACCAGGTTTAATATCAAGTGGAAATTGTTCACCACCTCCACCATCATCAAATTTGCCACCACCACCATCTGAATGGCTCAATTAAAAATAGAAAGTCTTCATTCATTTATCAAACAATTTTGTCTGATATATCATTAATATTTTTCTTCGTTTTGTCATATTTATTTAAACAAAGAATACTTATGTCAGAAAAAAAAAGAATTATGGCTTATGATCAAATATATAATCAACGCAGATTTTTCTTTCGATTTTAGCAAAAAATTAAGAGCCATTTTGTATGTTTTTTTTCTTTCTTCTATCGAATCTATGATTGCATGTTATTATTGTTTCATTCTTTTGTGAGTTTCGAATTCTTTATTTTTTTT